TTGAGAAATCTCAGGCTTGCAGGGAAGCCTTTAGGTTGTGCTGGGGCTTGGAAGCAGGGGGTTTTTTCATAAGTGATCTAAGTTCCCATCTGTATTTGTGGGGCCAAGCAGATAGAAAATCTTCCTCTTGCTTGTAAAAGAATGGAGAAAACTTGAGCAAGCCCAAGTGCATAGGATTTCCACAGCCCTGTACAAATGAGAAGGAAGCACTATTGGCAGAAAAGACAAAGCAAAGGATGCTACACATAAAGAGTATTCATGGTATTGAACCTGAAATACACCCTGTTGATTCTGGGATAGGCTTTTAACAAAGATTTGTTCCTGACCTCCAAAGGTCTTGTTGCCTGTTTGGATAGTTGTCTTTCTGCTCAGTGAGCTTTTCTATAAGAGGAAATGAAACACTTTTTGCTTTTCAAATTATTCACATAGATGCTCTGCCATTTCAAGCTCAATCTGCTTGTGTAAGGAGTGTGTAATCCTCTTTTTTTTTTTTTTTTTTCCCATGGACATGTGCTTTTAAAGTAATTTCAGAATTAAATATGTTATGGAATAATTCTGGGGCTCTGTGGGAAAGTTCATTAGATCATCAAGCCTACTTCAATGCTGAGTTTGTCCCTACAGGGAAGATAAACTTATTTTACACTGGATGATAGTGAAAATGCCAAGAAACTATTTGAAACTATATATGAAAGAGCACTTTCATATCAAAGGCACTAACATGCAAGCACAGATTTCCATAATAATGTGAGAAAGAGAAAGGAAAAAGTAAGACAATTTTTACTCTTTGTTCTTAAGAAGGATTGTATTAATCCCTTTTGTATATTCCAGCAGCTACAAACTGAAATGAAAACTATATCCAGAGGCAGATAATGTCCTTCCTCTTACAGAAGGAGAAGAGTAAGCTACATTTCTGGAAGACTGTTCTTTTTCCTACCTGGAACATCTATTCAGTCCCAGCCAGGTAAGGCTGTTGTTTAAGGCCAGTTCCCCAGGGTTCAGCTGACCTCTGCAGCAAAACCACTGAAGGACTTAATAACAGTGACAGAGACAGCCTGGCCTCCTCCCTCAGCTCCTGATTGCTGCTCCTTTGGCAAAGAGGAGCATTCAGATTCGCAGAGCAGCCCAGGTTCATGGTGCCATTTGTGGCCCTGGCAAAGCAGGGTCCTTTCGTGCAGGAAGAATCACAAAGGCAAACCAACTGGAATTTCTCTGAAGCTTTCCTAGAAACGTCACCTGGGACTGTAAAGAGGTCGAATTATAAACTAGTACTCCATGCAGAAAGATGCAAGAACCAGAGTGCAGGTGTAAAGACCATGAGAAAGAAGGAAGGTTGGTGGAGGCAGGGGAAATACCCATCTTTCAAATTAATTGAAATAACTTAGATAATTCCCTGCAACTATTACTGGATTTCTCCTTAACCCTTTGAAAGTTCAGTTCAAAGTAGAAGAAGACCCTAGGTAGGCTTTCCTCTCTCTGAAGTTTCTGTCTCTCTGAAGTTTCTGTCTCAGTCAGGAGCCCAGTCTGAGCAGATCCAGTTGTGAGTGTCTTAAATTTTTAGTGTTTCCCTGTGTTGACCCTGTCAGGCCCACGGCAGTTGCCATACTGAGAGCACAAAAACAGTAAAAGCAAAATATTCCCAAACAAGTTTTCTGAAACATACCATATTGTGAAGAGGCATAAAGCACCTCCTTTCTGTGCTAACAAGTTATTAAAAAAAGAAAGCACTCTGGTGGGAGCAGATAAAAATGACACTTCTTAGCTTTCCCGCTTGTTACCACAGAGATTCCTGCATTTAAGGGGGACATCTGTTACAAAGGATGAAAAAAAAATTTTGCTGTAAGCAAAGGACAGTCTGGGAACAAAACTATGTCTCAAAATCTAAACCCAAACTTTATTTAAATTGTACCTCAGCAAAAAATAACAGCCAGTATTAGTAAAACAAATTATATTCCAATTGAAAATAATTGGGTCAGAACAAGTCCAACAAGGGAAGTGAAAATGCAGCATTTACAGCCTATAGAACAGGTTTAAGCTGCTTGAAGGAAGCAGGCAAGTGATCAGCCAGCTTGGGAGTGTGATTTCCTTTGCAAATAATTTCTATGCTGAGATGTGACCAGTGCTTTGTGTTCTGCCAAAGGCAGTAGCCAGAGGCAACAGAAAAAATTTTAACAACTAGCCAGAAGCAGAAAAAAAAAATTAACGAGTAAGCTAATTAGCAGACGCTATCAAGACAGAGTGATAAGATGCGATTAAAGACATCTTTAAGCCACTTCCAGGCCTCTCCCTTCTGGAGCAGTGGTGAGGAATGCATGGGTGGTTTCATTATATCCTCACCATGGGCAGCCAACTCCCAGTCAAAACTGACTTCAAGCCCTCATGTTTCCCAGGAGGCTGAGCAGACAAGGATGCTCTTTTCCTCTCCCATCCTCGCCTCACACCTGCTGTACAAAGGAATGGAGGGGCACGGCAAGGCTGTCACACAGAAGACGAGCTAATACTTAGATTTTGAGAGAAGCTGCTTGGGTAGGATGTACTTTACCTTCTGCCTCTTGCAGATTAGATTCTCTCTGTCTTACCAACAATTTCTGTTAGCTCATGCTGAGCATTCAATGAAACTCTCAAAAAGTTGTGTACGTCCCATAGTACAAACACAGGTGGAAAACATGGCTATTGCAGAGGCCTACAGCACACTGAGAGCAAAATTTGAAATACAGCTGAGCTCATCCAGCTCCCAGACTTGTCCTCTGCCTGCAGATGCTTCGGCCACAAAATTACATAGGAGTATGCCTGGCCCTTGGAGGGAAACCCAAGGGGGGGCTCAGAAAAAAAGAGTTTGGGGAATAGTGTTCCATGCAAGGAGACTAACCTAGAGGGCAGTCAGGTTCTGTCAGGCAGATCAGTTTGGTTTAATGCATTTAAGCATGCTCTCACAACAAAGCCCAAAGCCTTTATCCTAGTCTGCAGTTTATAAGATGATGAACAATCCTTCTCTGGGAACCAGTAAATATGATATTTTCCAGTTCTCAAGAATGGAGCGTTTTATAATACTGTAGACAGAACGTACCATCTATTATTCATGTGTCATTTTACATGTTAGCATCCCATACAAACATACACAAACTCCATCTTTATTATATGCTGGCATTGAGAATGGAAATAAAAATCCTACTTGGTCAAACTACTCAAATGCAAGGGATAGTGACTAACATTTTCATGTTAGTTGCACATGATCACACAGAATTTTGCTGTTGTTGGTACAAGTAGGCTGGAGACTTTCTAACCATACTGTACACATGTATTTGACTTTTAAAAATAACAGTAATTAAAAATAATTCAACAATAAATGTGACATGTTTTGTAGCTGATGAGCTAGCGTTACAGGGAAAGTTTAGTTTTCCTGGGTTTATCTGTTTTGTGCAAATTAAATTCTCATTATTAACTATATTAGGTTTTTGGGGTGCATCCTTTTAATACGAAAAAAGAGAGGAAACAGTGCTGACACAATGATGGCTGTTCTTAGAGGTAAAACACATGCAGAACAAATTGACCAAGGTAAGGACTGCAGATTAGCAGAGGAAAGTGTGCTTCTGGTGATAATCAAGTATATTTGTTTAATAACAATACTTGCCACTATTACAATGAAGATCTGAAGTTCTGAAGTGCTCATTTCCTCCCTGTACTGTTTGCCACTTTAGAAGGTGTGGATAGTGTTGAGAACAGAGAAGATAAGAGCGATCACAGAGGTTAAAGGAGAACTTCTCAGGCAGGGAACCCAGTTATGGTGAGTGGGACCAGTAGATGGGCAGGATGCCATGGGAAGCAGCTCTGGTAGGACTTTTGTGGTGAAATTATAGGCAGAGGCTCACCAACTCACTTAACAGGTTAATTCGTTGACACAATGTCTGAGGTCTTGCATAGATGATCTTTTTGGTGAGAGATCAAGGGGGTTGCCAGCATACTCAAGAAAGGGTGCTTTGGAGGTTCAACTTTAAGAAGAAGGGTTTGGCCTACACAGAAAAGAGACTTCTGAAGCACTTCCAGTGAATCAGATCTTGGTACACCCATAAAGCCCACTCTGACCTCTGAGCTACTGTGTAACCAAGCAGTGCAACAGCACAGAGCACTTCTTTTTCTTCTGAAGCAGTTCTTCCTACCTACGAGTCTGAGAAAGGGGACATTGATGCAGAGGGAAGCTTTGGAGAGAATCAAAGTGCAGGACTTCTTTCATGTGCTGAGGCACTTGTGCTTCTTGAAAAACCTGACACACTTTTTACCTTCCACCCCCAGCTTTCTCCTGGGATGACCAGGCATCCAGACATGGCAGCAGCTTGACACTCATCTTCAGCCTGGACAAGAGTAGACTAAGGGAAAACCACGTCGCAGTCTACCATTCTCACAGTCCATCACATCACATTCCCCTTCTCCTGAGGGAAAGAGGAGGGGCAGGCACTGATCTCTTTTCTCTGATGACCAGTGACAAGATTTCAGGGAACAGTGTGAGGCTGAGTGAGGAGGAGGTTTAGGTTGGATATCAGGAAAAGGTTTTTCATCCCGAGGGTAGTTAGGCACTGGAACAGACTCCACAGGTAAGTGGTGTCAGGGAACAAGCCTGACAGAGTCCAAGAGGCGCTTGGACAACGCTCTCAGGCACACACAGTGTGGTTCCTGGGGTTATTCCATGCAGGGCCAGGAGCCTAACTTTGATGATCCCTGTGAGTCCCTTCCCGCTCGGGATATTCCGTGATTCCACAACACCCCCTTCCCACACACAACCCCCGCTCCAGCCCTGAGCCAGCAGGGTGGTCTCCCTGAAGCGCCCCCCACGAGCCCCCCCCAGCCCACCCTTTCCCCTTCAGCAGCCCCTCCTGGGGGCGGGGGCGCACAGGGGGACCCGCGACCCTTCCCCGCCCCTCCCTCTCCCCGCGGGGGGCCGGAGCCCCCGCGGTCACGTGGCCGCTCGGTGATGTCCCGCCCCCCCCCATCCCGCCCCATCCCGCCCCCGAGTGTCCCGGGGCGCCGCCGCTCCGCCCTTCGGCAGCGCCCGGATCGCTCCGTGCGCCGCTCCCGGGACACTCGCGCGGGCGTAGCGGGACGCGGCCGCTCCATGAGGTGAGAGCGAGGCTCGGCGGGAGGCGGCGGCGGCGGGAGGAGGAGGATGGGGGGAGGAGGAGGAGGAGGAGGAGGAGGGTCCGTGCGCGCTCGGCGGCGGCGGGCGCTGTGAATGGGGCTTTGTGTGCGGCGCCCACCTGCTCCCGCCTCCGCCGCCCGGCGCGGGGGCTCCGCGGCCGCCGGGCGCTTCCCCCGCAAGACCCCGAGAGGGGGAACCCGCTGCGGGGTGCAACAGGAGGGAACTTCTCCCTTCTCCCTGCCTGAGAGCCCCGTTTGGCCGGTGTGGGGGGAGCGGAGAGCAGCGCGGGGACGCAGCCCGTGAGTCACTGGCGCTTGGCTGTTTCTTTTTATTTACTTCGTGTTTTTATGTTTTGTCTGGTTATTTCTCCTTTCTTCCCAAGATGCGTGGCGGGCAGTGACAGCTGCCCTCGGGGCTGAGAGGTGGCACCGCTGGTCCCCCGCCCCGTACCTCCGCCCGCCTCTCGGGGGTCTCCGCGGGTCCCTCAGCCCCGGTCGGAGCCGTCCCCACCGCCCCAGGGACGGGGGTCGCCGGTCCCTGACAGCAGGGTCCGGCCGAGCCCCGGCGGTGCCGCTCCCGGGGCGCCCTGATGGGATTAAATCCGCTCCCGGGGGGACCCTCAGATTCCTCGGTCCGGTCGGAAAGGTCTCTCTGGGTGTCTCGGTGCTCTCCACGGGGGTTTAGGAGGAGCCCAGGAAAGGGGTCCCCGCGCCCCGCTGCCACCCCCGGCTCCTCGCACCCCGCGGGCACACGGAGGGGCTGCACCTTCCCCTGGCAGCGCGGGCTTAAGTGATCCAGATTTTCTGTAGCTGCTAAAAAAAATTTAAGTAGTCTTCTTAAGGAGTCGTATCGAGTTTAACTAGGAACCTGTGCTCCTAACTTCCCACAGGGCACGGGAAAGATTTTTCTCTTGCACAGCATTTGGCAGCGCAAGCCTTCTGCAGTCTGCTGTTACCACTTGTGACATTCTTAACTTTATCCATATGAAGAGAGTGGTTAAATTCTGCCTTAACAGCGTTTCAGGATCTCTGACAAATTCTTCCATTTGTTTCTATAGTGAATACGAACGTGCTTATTGGAGGACTGATGCAAAACGCTTCCACTCTAGTGCCACTTTGGTAGAAACGGTAGTAGTCTCTTCTTTTTTTTCCCTTCTCCTTTACCTCAGCGTGCTGTAGATTAGTGTGCCTTATTAAAAACAATAACAACAACAAAACCTAGGAAAAACTACTTATACATCATTTTAGAAAGGTCTTGTGATATCTGGGGTTAACTAGGTGTAACTGAATTTAGTAAATATCTGTCAATGACCTGCTTGGCTCTTGTCTTGGGACACTCATGCAAAGCTGTCAGTGAGATTTTATTTACTAATAGAGGAATCATATAACAGCCATATGAACCAGAGTGAATGAGCATGTGAGTAGGACGATGCTTGGTATGATCTCGGGGTTCTCGAGCTGGAGCCAAGCTCAGTGCCAAGAAGTCACTATGCAGTAGCAGACATCCATCCTTACAGTCTAAAAATATTGGCCCTCTGCTATTCTCTTCCCTCTTCCATGAGTGCATCCGCTAGCAAAGCAATAAAATGCTGCCTCCTCCCCTCTGCTTCCCTGAACCAAGAGATAGATAGATAACATCAAGTTGGAGAGAAGACTAGGCAGGAGGCTGCTCATCTCATGAAGAGATGTAAGCATTTCACAAGAGGGTACACTGACTTGCCTCATCTCCTTCTTTCTTCCCCCCCCCCCCTTTGTTTGTGAACTTTTTCTTATCCCCTTCTCTGCTGAGGACTCTGTGTCTTTTTTTGAGGGAGAAGCTGTGACTGGAGAAACATGAAAGCTAGTTCTTGTGTAAGACGTTGGTAATTTCTAAATCCTACTGCAACAATACCCTAATCACATTCCTTTTGGGAGCTGATTGTAGACTAGTTCTTTTTGCACAGGGATAATGCTTGGAATAACTACAGAGAAGAAGCCAAGAAAACTGGAATTTGTTCAGAGCTTTGGTGTCTTGCTTAATGGCAGGCATAGTAGACTACTGAAAATTCCAAGGTGGAAGCATAGCAACCCATTTATTTTTGTGGGGTTATAGATTTGAGCACCTGGTTCTCCTTGTATGTCTGAGAAGCCTCTTCACTTGCCAGCATTTTTTGGAGTTGCTTTCTTGGTGCCTGTGAATGTATGCAGGTGAAAGGTCTGTATCTGGGGTAGCTTGGGCCTTGTTTTCAGACTTGTCAATCCTAGATGTCATCTGGAGTCTCAAGTGGAGAGTCATCTAAACATGCTCTTCTAGGATACAGAGGAAGTAGTGCCAATAGCTGCAATTCAGGTTGTTAGAACAGAGCTTGTCACAATCAAACTGCCAGAGACATATGGAAGTCTGGTGAATTGTGGGAGCAACTAAAGCTCTCCACTCGCACTTAGAACTAGCCACCAGCCCAGGTACTTGCCAAGGACTGCTGGAGTGGAAGGACACAGCAGTGAAAGAAAGCATGAGGTGATGGTGATAGTCAGTGTGCTAAACGTGAGATGATCACCTCTGAAGGAGAGAGACTCGTGATTAGTGCATCTGCCTGTGAAGTTTTAGGTCTTGACTCAAGTCTTTCCTCTGCAGGCAGATCATGCATTTTAGATGAATGCTGTAATAACTTACATATATTTTCTAAAGCTGTCATAGTCTTCCTTTGATTTTGGGCATGGAAGCCATTGCTAGTACTCAAAATACTGTAAACCAAGATGTGATTTTGTGTTTGCTTGTTTGGTTGCTTTTTCTATATATAGGAGGAATGAGTAAAGTGGAGGAAGAGCCAAGTTTGTTCAGTGATTACAATAGAAAAAAGAATTAGTATGCTGGTCTGCTTGCAACTCTGTAACTTCAGTAGTTGAGGATGTTCCATTTCTTTGCTCATAATTGCTGAGAGGCAGGGAACTACAGCTGGTTATTGCAGATGTCTGACTTCCCAAAGGCACTTTAGAACATCCTGGAACATCTCTGAGGAGTTTTGACTCTCAATTGCTTCCTGAGGACCTTGTTTACAATCACTTACCTGAGACACCAGCACAATAGCTCTAAGGGACATCTGAAGATTCATGAGTCTGTGAAGGCTGGGAGAAGTATCTTAAACACTACATCATCTTCTCCAATATTTGTGCAGCACCTAATACTGCTGCTATTGAATATGAGTTTCTAGAACCTGAATAAAATGAGATAAAAACCACTTGATTATCACTATGATCACATAATACCTGGGGTTGGAAGAGACCTCTGGAGATCATCTAGTCCAGCCACCCTGCTAAAGCAGGGTCACCTAGAGCAGGTTGCACAGGATCATGACCAGGAAGGTTTTGAATATCTCCAGAAAAGGAGATTCCAGAGCTTCTTTGGGCAGTCAGTGCTCTGTCACCTTCAAAGTAAAGAAGTAAAGAAGGTCTTCTTCATGTTCAGATGGAACTTCCTTTTGTTTTGTTTTGTTTCATTTTGTGCTTGTTGGCCCTTGTGCTGTCACAGGACACCTCTGTAAAGAGTCTGGCCCCATCTTCTTGACACCTATCCTTAAGATATTTATAAGCATTAATAAGATCCCCTCTCAGTTCTCTCTTCTCAGGCTAAACAAGCTGGACTCTCTCAGCCTCTCCTCCAAAGAGATGCTCCAGCCCCTTACACATCTGTAGCCCTCCCTTGGACCCTCCCCAGTAGTTCCTTGTCTTTTGTGAACTAGGGAGCCCAGAACTGGACACAGCATTCCAGATATGGCCTGAGCAGAGGGGGAAGATAACCTCCTTCATTGTGCTGGCCACACTGTTCCTAGTGCACCCCAGGATACCACTGGACTTCTTGGCCACAAGGACACACTGCCAGCTCATTGTTAACTTGTCTGCCAGAACTCCCAGGTCCTTCTTGGCCAAGCTGCTTTTCAGCAGGCTAACTCTTAACCTATACTGGTCCATGAAGTTATTCCTCATGAGCTGCAGGACCCCCACACTTGCCTTTGTGGAACTTCATGAGGTTCTTCTCTGCCCCACTCTTTAGCCTGGACAGATCCTTTTGAATAGCAGCAGAGATACCATTCCACAGATACTACCTACCAAGATGCTGGTGTTCATCTTGCTGATGTCCTGCTAGTTTATAGCGGTGGTAGTCTTCCAGAACAGAAAATAATCCGAATTTCTAATGCTTTTTATTGAAGGATGGAAACACATGCAGCTCTCCATTTTTAAGCAGTGTTAAAAAAATAAACTCCATTTTCATCAGCTAAAGTATTTTCCCTGCCCAAGAACTTGATAGCTGAATAGAGGAGCTGTGTTATCAGCACAGTCCCTGAAGGTATTTCTGGACTACACAAGCTTTGAGTAGAATACTCTTCCAAGGCACTTATGGGAGTGGGACTTGTCAAGTGTCTTATGTAAATTGCTTTGATGTTCCCGACTTTCCATCTCCGACCCTAAGAGATGACTGCTCTGCCTTAGGCTTTTTCAGAATATTAATCCATAAAGTCATGGATATGTCTCTTCATAGATTTAGCACTGCAACTGTACAGTTTGTTTTGTTTGTCAGTTCTGAAGAAAGTCAAGTTGGATGGCTGATAACAGAATATTAGGAAAGGAGTAAGTATAAGCAAGTACTCGTTGCCGTTACCTGTGTGGGTTTCTCATTTAAGAACTGACATTTCACAATTGTGACTCTTCAGTGCTTTTTCTCTGTTTCTAGTTGTAGCTGGATGCTTCATTTCCAATCTCATCCTGTTGAACTAAGCATTGAACATGGAAAGGTCTTCAGGACTGCAACATATCTTATGTATGGCCAGACTAAAGGAGATGTCTCAAAACTGAGGGGCGTGCAAGAGAGGATCTTTTTGTTGTAGAGACAGGGAAATTGAAAGCAGAGAGAGACAGTGGTATGTCCCTGTTCATGCAAGTCTTGTCTCTTTTGCTATGCTCTTCATTGAGATGGTTGTGTGTTGACAGATATTTCCAGACAAAAG